GACAGAAACATCTTTTTATGACGTTTCCATCCAACATTATAAACCACTCAACCAAAAATAGTTTATTAGTTTTTATTTCAAGTATAATTTGCGTTATTTTAATGTTGAAACTTCATGGTTTAGAAATAACTATTTACCGTGAACTTGTTCTTCATCGTATTTTTTTAAAAATATTTTTCTGTGAGAATAATCTTTGAAAAAGAATATTTGTTGTTAACGTTGCGCTTACATCAACTAAAATTATACTACTTGGAAGGAAAAATGCGATTTTTAATTTAAGGAAATAACTTTTTTGAGAAAATGTAAAAATAGTAATTGGAAATTAGAGGGGAAAAAATTGTCTTCATTACATGCATAATGCGTCAGTTATTTAACTGACATATTTTGTATACCGAATTTTGTACTATTTCATACAGGAGTAAAAATTCCAAGTTCCAATATCAACGTTTTATATTCCTAGGAACAGTATATAAATTTTATTCCTGAAAAATGTCTAATACATTGCATTTGAGCCGAGATGGTTCAGGGGCAGCCAATGAGATGAACCGGGTTTGAATCTCAGCGATGGCTGGTTGATATGAATTCCGCACCCAGCTTGCACTGACCACTGTGATGACGTGAAACATCCTCAGTTGTTGATGGATCATGGGTTAGAGTCCCCTTGCCGTCAGGTTAACCGTGGAAGGTTCTAGTGGTCTTCCCATGTAACGCAAATGCGTGTTAGTTCCATCAAAAAGTCTTCCACGAAGGCAAATTTCTGCCAATATTTGATCCAGGAATTCCCTTGTCATCTAGATTGGGTTCAAAATTAGGAGACGGAGGCCTAATTTTGAACCCAATCTAGACCCGTTCAAGGCCACGGAGGTGAACATTAATAGTTGTAAACCCAAATATGGGTCGGCTGTTCAACGATGGTTATAAAATAAAATAAAAAGTACCTTGCATTTTAAGTAAATCAACTGTTGAATTTTTTTCATTACAGATTTCAAAAAATTCGTTCAAAAACATTGGTACTTTAATCTATAATACGGGGCAAATCTGTTACAATCTTGATAAAATATTAAATTGAACTATTGTTCCGTTCAAATTGAATCATATTATCATGAAATCAAGTTTAAGAAGTTCGAATGTGTATAGTTCAACTTAGTATCATATTAAGGTTGCAGTAAAATTTGAAAAAAAAAAAAAAGATATTATGGTTTAATATTCTTTGAACTTTTAACAGAGTATTTATTTTAACTTTAAACAAATTACTTCGCTTAATAATAAATTATTGAGAAGATGGAATAACACCGGGTTGCTAAGATTCGAAAGCCTGTTAGAGTTAAACTGTTCTATATAGAAACTGCATGACTAATCAATATATTCGTTACTTTAGTTGTACACAATATATCATTCTCGAAAAGTTATAGCTGTAATACTTTTTTTACGAATGATTTTTCTTTCTAGAAAAAATAAAACTGTCTAGTCAAGTTACCCCACTAATGGGATAAAACCGGGTACACATATTAACTCTGTGGGAAATTTAGAAATACTAGAATTTCAGGGAAAAAGTAGCAGACATTTCCATTTTAATAGCATTTAGTAGCAGACATAACCATTTTTTAACACAATTTTAAAAAAAAATTATGCATGAAATTTATGTGATGTAGTCAAGGTTGTACTCAGGGGACGGAGAAAGAGAGAGACAACTGTCCCAGGGCCTGGAACGGTTAAGGACCCGACCAAAATTGTTTGCAAAAAATTTAGTGTTCATAAATTTTTTTTCAAAAGAATATAGCAGAGAATTTCTTTTATAAAAACTACACTTTTGTATAAAAGGTCTTCAAAAATTCTACAAAATAGGAAAATAAGGCTTTTTGTGCTTTGAGGATGGGAACGCAATAAATTTGTCCTGGGACCCGTAAAACCTTAGTTTAATCCTGGATTTAGTTATCTTTTTCTTGTGCTGCATTACAGTTTTTCAGAGCCCAGTATAGACACAACATCAATGGGGGTTAGGGAGAAACTGGACCGGGTAGTACTCGGGTTTAATTCGCAAGCAGTGGTAATCGAAACCAAACAGGACAGTGTTATTTATCTGGCTAAATCCTTATTGTTTGTTTCATGAATACTTAGTAAACTTGTAATAAGCGGGACTAAGAATAATTTTTTGAACTGTAATGTAATAAGGATAGTTTAAAAACAAGAGAATGTTAGAGAGTTGACATAGTAAAACAAACTTATCTACACAGACGTCGGGGATTAATCAACATCAACACATCAATATGGTAGGCCTTTCTTCTTGATTAGTAAAGTGTAATTCGGAGTTTACCCGTTAGAAAACAGATCCTACTTCACTAAAATCGGGGTACCCGGTTTTACACCAATCTCCACTAAATGCATTTTACCCCAATACAAATAATATAATTATGGAAAAGAAAGAAACAGAAAAAATAAACTACTTTAAACTTTTACCTTGGATAAGCTGGATCTTCAAAGCATATTGTATCATTGGTAGCTTTCGCACAAGCTGGAGTTTGTGTTTGTTCTTTTGTTTCTACTGGTCTTGGTGCGAATTGAAAATGATTTTCGGGAAAGATTGCAATAGGTTCAAAAGGATTTCTGTTAGGACTTACACCTTGAATCGGGTAAAAGGAAGCATCTGGTATCGATAAACCGGGGTTTCTTTCTGGATATGTTCTAAATAGTTGCGGAGGAGCCTCAGGTCTTTCTTGATTAGGCATGCCGGGTAATCCTTGAGAGAATTGCTCAGGCGTACTGCCTTCGGTTTCATTTTGGTTGTCGTTATCTTCAATTCTTACATTGGGAAAACCTCGTTGAACAGTTTCCAAAGCAGCTCTGTAAGGATCAGGACTGTTATAAACGTTGTAACTTCTAGGGACTGTAAAAAAAGGGAAAGGCTGTCTTAATGGTGCAACATTTTCTTTCGATTCCTTTTCTGTAACATTTTTAGTCGGAAGAGTTTCTTCAGTCGCGTATCCAGCTTCTGTCAAAGGGTATCTCATATATACATTATCTTGTCTCTCGAAATTGTTTTGCTCTTCAACATTATTTGGCCTTTGTATTCTTGCTCCAAATGGAACGGATATGGGATTTTCTTTGTTAGGAGTTTCGGTTAACAGCTCAGTTTGTTTTTCTTCACTTTCAGCTGGTGTAGAACTTAACATTTGTCCTGGACGAACATTGCTTTGAACAGGAACTCGGGCACGTTGCTGAGGATTTATGAATCGTGGAGGAATTTGCGATCTCTCTTCAGAGTTGGGGTAATTTGATAGGATGCTCAGAGCTGGATTAGCAAAAATATTTCCTCTTAAATTTGGATTGCCGTTAAAAAGATTAGGGCTGCGTTGATATTGGGTATTTGCTTGAGGATTACCAAATAATGCCGGAAACCCAGATCCGGCTTGATTCATGGAGTTGTCATAATTGGAATAACCTGGAGAGGATTCTTGCTGGAAGAACTGTGGCATTTGTCCTGGCATATGTGTAGGCACAGATTGAGAAACAGGAACTTGGAAGGGTGCTTGAAATAGATATTCTGAACTTGCAAAGGGATTTCTTTGATCAGTTTGTAGTGAAAATACTGTTGGAAAGTTACCTGCATTCTCAAGCTGTGGATACTGACCTTGTGAAAAGTCTGGCTGAGTATTGTAAAATGAGTTTTGAATGTCACTGGGTATTCTTCCATTTGCGTTTGCAAAATTAATCGGTTGTTGAGCAAATGGGTGTCTAAAAACGGGTCCTGGTTGGAAAGCAAAAGGTGGCTGAAATATAGAGTTATATGATTGTTGACGACCTCGAGTACGATCAGAATTTTCATTACTATTAGGAGTTCGAACTGCTTCGGCTTGTTGTGGGGCACTTTCTGATCTAAAACTCTGTCTCTGATCTCGGAAGTCATTAACAGACTGGAAAGGTCTCTGATATCCTCCTTGAGTGAGTTGAAATACAGGTGAGTTTTCAGTAGTGGGCTCGTTCCTTAAGCGGTTGTTTTCTGGCATAAAAGAAGATGGCCGTTCAGTTTCTCTCTCTTCTTTGGATTCATCAAAGCTGTTTCTTTGGAAGTTTGGTTGACTTAATTCTGGTGCTTCACTTCTAGTTTCTACATCATCTGAGTTTGATGCAAGCAAAGGTTCTTCGGTTACGGCAGATGCAAGCTTAACACTTGCAGAGTCCCCCTGTTCAGTATTGTTTTCACCGACGAAATCCTCAAACAAACCAGTACCATCAAGTAACGATTTTAGCATTTCTAGAAAGAAAAGTATTTTTTGAGGTATTTTAAACAATCTAAAAAATTATGCAGTTTTTCACAGGTGAAGGTGAAATAGTCAACCCGTTACTTAAAATGCCTTACTTAACCCCTCCGGATCGTCGTCATCATCGTCATCATCAGTAGATGTCATTCCATTTTCAGGATTACCATTTTTTTCCTCTTCTGGATCCATGACTAAGAACTTAATCGTCGAGTCCGAAGGTTGTAAGTCATCTGAAGAGCTAGCAGGTGCCACGTTTTCATTCTCGGTAATTGTCTGTGACTGACCTTTCACAATAGTTAACAGTAACACGAGCTGTAATAAACAGAAATTTATAATTGAAAATTGATTACACATTTTTAATCTTTCACTAAGAAATTGTGCTGTTCATAAACAGAATTATTTTTCTTTTGAATAAAGTTGAAGAAGTTTCTTTGTGAATTAACATCGTATTTAAAGAATCTATTTCATGACCTGAATTTTCATAATTTTTTTTAAAACAAAAATCACCATTTATATTTTTTTAAGTGTAACTATATTCGATTTCAACGTAAGCTAGCAATTAAAAATTTTTTTAAAGTAAAGTGAAAAGTAAATTTATAAAACTGCTGCCTTTTTTTTAAGAATTAAGTTTTAATATCATCTGCTTATTGTAACTGAAAGAAACTTTGTAGGATACAAATAGCACTTTTCAGAAAATATCGATTATAACCTCGAAAGATGAGTTTAAGTTCAAAAATGCATAAATTTCTAAGAATTGTGATATACTGATGAAATATTGTTACTATCATGCAATTTATCTGTTTATCTTAGTTCTTGAAAAAGGATATTGAATGCATGGATACTAGTATGAAGTGTTGCATGGATACTAGTGCGAATGTTGCATTGTATGCATGGATACTAGTGTGGAATGTTTGAAAGAAAACATTGCCCCAGTGTTGCCTCCATTACAAAAAAATTGAAATATTGTTTTATGTATAGACTTTGTTTGGATACATTTCTACTAACTTATATATAACTTTTTATAATGTATTTCTTTTTGAATGATCATAAGTTTTAAAACAAAAGGTATTTTAAAAATTAAACAACAAAGTGTTTCCCCGCATAAATCGAAACATAAATGGATTTTAAACAGAATTTTTCCTAAAATTTTGATGAAGATTATACCAAATATATTTCATTTCAAACTGTTGGATTATAAGCCATTGGATTATAAGCGATGTGCTATGTGCGGGTTTTCAAAGTCGTAATTTCTTAAAATTTAGATCGAAACCTTATAAAAAAATAAAGTCTTTTAAACTATCATAATCTTTAAAATTTGAAGTATTTAAATAATGAATCAGGAAGTGCTGTCCCATAAAGATAGCATAAACAATGTATGATTCCCTTCTTTTTTTTTGCAATTTTTAATCCTATCATTTACATTAATAAAAAAAAAATAAAAAAAGAAAAACAGAAACGTAGCTAGACTTAACCAGGCCCGTTTTTCCTTCGAATGTTATCCTGAAAACAAACAACCAAATTTCTAAAATTTTCGTTTCAAATTTTGTACTATTGTTTATTATTATTATTTTTTAAATATACACATATATCGTTAGCAATAGTAACTCACAGAATCACGGCATTTTGTGATATTAAAGACGTTGCTTAAAAATCCACTTAAAAATGTTAAAAATAAAAATTCCTTAATTGTTGAGATTCACTTATTTCTTGTAAATGATATGCTTTATTGAAATATCAAGTTCATATACATATACATCAGTGTTTCCCAAACTTATGACTTTTGTGTACCCTTTCTAAATTTTTCGTAACGCTGTGTGCCCCCTAATAAAGAAATGAATGAATTTTATACTATAAATAAATTGCACAAAAGTTAAAAATCACAACTGGCTGTTGACACCACTAATTATTAGCTGTTAACTCTGAAAAAAAAATAGCTAATATAAAAATACGTAATCGTAAATTTTCTTGTTTTTAAATAAAATGTTTTGAAATTTTCGTTTGTTGCAAGATATTTCGCATAAGAACGCGTACCCCAGCTAAACTGTTCCCGTACCCCTGGGGGTACGCGTACCACACTTTGGGAAACACTGATATACATATATGATAGTTCATATACCCATACATATATGATAGATTATATACATACATAATTTGAGGTTAAATTTTCGTACATTAATAAATTTAAATTAACATTATTGAAATAAAATTACATACATTTGTATTCAGAAGCTTAAAATAAGTATCTAAGAAATAATTTTTTGGTGGCAATTTCTTTAAATGTTACTATAAATTTAAAGAACTATAGTTTCTAAACAGAAATAGTTGTATCTATAGAGTAGAAAATTTCCATTTATACTTTTTTTCAACGGGACAAAGAGTTCTTATTGCCGAACTGTTAATAATACTTTCTCTTAACCGAAAGTAGCGTGCTAGGTTTTGTAAGAGTGTTTTGCACTAGTTTGTTTTCAGAAAAGAAAGTTTTGCATGTTCACGCTCAAGTTAATCTTTAGGTTTTCGTTTAACTGTGACTGTAACCTATCATTTTCCGATTGAGGAAGAAATGAGTTGTCACGCAGTTGCTTGCGAATTCAAATGAATTGTTGGGGAGATAGCGGGGTGGACCTTGTTTCACAATTTAGGGAGTTCTATTACGAGAATGAATAGGTATCCTATTTTGTTTGGACGCTGGGTGTGGAAATTTCTTGTAACGTGTATTCTAAAAAATATTTTCTTTTTATTCCAAGGCGTGAAAGGAGCTCATTAGAATGTTTCGAGGTTGTACTTTTTCCTTTGTTGTTAAAGTTTAGAAATAAGTTTTCTGTTCTCATTATTAGAAAGTCCTATCTTGAAAGAAGATAGTNAAAAAAAAAAAAAAAAAAAAAAAAAAAAAAAAAAAAAAAAAAAAAAAAAAAAAAAAAACAGAAACGTAGTTAGACTTAACCAGGCCCGTTTTTCCTTCGAATGTTATCCTGAAAACAAACAACTAAATTTCTACAATTTTCGTTTCAAATTTTGTACTATTGTTTATTATTATTTTTTTTTTAATATCACAGAAGCACGGCATTTTGTGATATTAAAGACGTTGCTTAAAAATCCGCTTAAAAATGTTAAAAATAAAAATTCCTTAATTGTTGAGATTTACTTATTTCTTGTAAATGATATGCTTTATTGAAATATCAAGTTCATATACATATACATATATGATAGTTCATATACCCATACATATATAATTTGAGGTTAAATTTTCGTACATTAATAAATTTAAATTAACATTATTGAAATAAAATTACATACATTTGTATTCGAAAGCTTAAAATAAGTATCTAAGAAAAAATTTTTTGGTGGCAATTTCTTTAAATGTTACTATAAATTTAAAGAACTATAGTTTCTAAACAGAAATAGTTGTATCTATAGAGTAAAAAGTTTCCATTTATACTTTTTTTCAACGGGACAAAGAGTTCTTATTGCCGAACTGTTAATAATACTTTCTCTTAACCGAAAGTAGCGTGCTAGGTTTTGTAAGAGTGTTTTGCACTAGTTTGTTTTCAGAAAAGAAAGTTTTGCATGTTCACGCTCAAGTTAATCTTTAGGTCTTCGTTTAACTGTGACTGTAACCTATCATTTTCCGATTGAGGAAGAAATGAGTTGTCACGCAGTTGCTTGCGAATTCAAATGAATTGTTGGGGAGATAGCGGGGTGGACCTTGTTTCACAATTTAGGGAGTTCTATTACGAGAATGAATAGGTATCCTATTTTGTTTGGACGCTGGGTGTGGAAATTTCTTGTAACGTGTATTCTAAAAAATATTTTCTTTTTATTCCAAGGCGTGAAAGGAGCTCATTAGAATGTTTCGAGGTTGTACTTTTTCCTTTGTTGTTAAAGTTTAGAAATAAGTTTTCTGTTCTCATTATTAGAAAGTCCTATCTTGAAAGAAGATAGTAGCATCGACCATCAAGTGCGGTCTTGAAACTTTGTCGTACTTGTTTTCGAACAGGAATATTCCAACCGTTGTGTGGTGGAAGGCCAACTTTACGTTAATTTATTTTGCATTGCATCTTTTTCCTTTGTCTTAAATGTTTAAAAGCTTTCATCACTTGATTTTTTTTTGTAATTTTTTTTACAAAAGTTTAATAAGTTTACCGAAAATTTCGTTTATTTGAACTTACAAACTCATGAAGAAAATGCACAGTATAATTGATTTGTTACACATTTTGTTTTGTCTTTACTCTTTGATTTTTTTGTAAATAAATTTATATACATGTTTTGTACAGAGTCAATAAGCTTTTATACAGGGTGTTCAGTGATCACCACTCTCATTATATATTTTTAGAGTCCTTGCCTAGACTTAATTCAAAGAAGGGGTAGTATTTAAAAAGCGCAATATCATATTTATGCAAGCGAAACCATGATAAAATTATCAAATTTAATCTTATTTGTTAAATTTCCTCACATATTATAAAACCACATTTTATTGTTAATTTTACCAGAGGGCTTCGGTAAAAATAACTAATCTTTTTAGTGTTCCCATATAGCCAGAAACACAGAAATTTTTTTCCATATTCTTGTAGTTTTGGTCAGAGTGGAAAGTATATTTTTTTTTCTCAGTATAGAATTATTCAAAATCATCTCTTTTTACTTTTAAAAACTAAATGAAAAAGAAATGTATATATATATTTTTTCCACTTGTATCAAATAAATGCTATTTGATAATGTGTGATTTGATGATTAAGGATGTGATTCTTTATTCGATTTAAAGAGTTAAAAAAAATCTGGAAAAGTTATCGTACTGTATGATAATAACATTTCTTAAAAAAGAAACATAATTCTAGTTATTAAAATCAAAAAATAACTGTATTTAATCCAATAATTTGGTACTCTTTCCCTTCGTATACTAAAGATAATATATCAATAAATCAACCGGATACAAATAGTTTTCAAATTATAGCTCTTATTTCCATACATTTACTGCAAAAATTCTGAATTGAAAAAAGATTTAACCCAATAAATGATTTTTATGTTTTTTAAATGCTATGATAAAATTATCAACACTATGATAAAATTATATTAAAATTATCAATTAAATTATCTAAATTATCAATTATCAAATTTTACCACACTTAAAAAATTTTATCAAATATTATAAAATCATATTTTATTCTTAAGTTTACCAAAAGTCATTTCCAAAAGTCTTCAGCAAAAATTACAGTACTTTTTGGTGTTGCCGTAGAACTAGAAAACTAGGTAAATGTTTAACATATTCTGGTAATTTTGACCATACTTTTTTTCTCAGTGGACTACTAAAGGTGTAACAT